GAAACCAGATGATAAGTGATATGAGCCAGGCAGAAGGGGCTGTGAGAGAGGAAGACGTCTAGAGGGACAGGGAGGGAAACATGAGGGATATTGGAATATGGGTGTCATGAAAACAGGAGGGGGTACTGTTTGGGCAGGAGGAAGAGGATGAACGAGGGGTGGAGGGAGGGGAGGGTGTGAAAAAAGACAACCTATAAAGATAAATATGCTTGAAAGCAGATGTCATCATATGTCATGATGAATCCCATTTCTTTGTTTGCTAATCAAAATGTTTTGGTTTTGGTTTTTTGTGGTAAAAGTAAGAGAGGGAGGGTTAGAGGACCATCTTCCACCTGCTAGGGTTTTCTCATAGCCAGTGAGGCCCTAGAATGTTCCTGAAGGTGTCCAGAACATGCAAGTTCTTATACTTACGTTCCTCCTCTTCTTCTTTTTTAAACTTATTTCTTTTGTTGTTGCTTGGTTTTGTTTTGCTGGGTTTGTTTGTTTGTTTGTTTGTTTGTTTGTTTGTTTGTTTGTTTGTTTTAAGACAGTGTCATATAGCCCAGGCTGTCCTTGAACTCGCCATGTGGCTGACAATGGCCTTGAACTCTGGCTCCTCCTGACTTTACCTTCCAAGTGCTGAGATTACATTTGTGAGCCACTGTGCCTGGCTTTGACTTCTCTTCCCTCGCCATTGCCGAAAGGATGCAGCCCGGTTGCTGTCACGTGTGGTCTGTGTCTAAGAAAAGGGAAGCTCAGAGGAGTTCCATTGCTCACCAGCTCCCAAGTCAGAGACAGTGGCCGCAGGTGAGAAAGTCCTGCCTGGTGACACTGGGCACGAGGAGGTAGCGCAGGTGCTCCCTGGGGCCAGGCGGGGGATGTGAAAACATATGGTGACTGATAAGAGGGAAATCTGCCAGAATTCTTCCCTCCGTTTTTACTACAATAATACTGTTTGTATTCCAAGTTTAAAAATAAATATCAGAAAATCTAGTGAATTCAATTCCCTTTTTTTTAAGTTAAATTAATTTTTTAAGTGATTCACAAGTAAACACCATGCAGACCAAAATATCCACAAGTCAGACTTTAACATCTACATAGCCATCAGGTGGTAGACACCCAGACAACGGTGGATTTGGCTACATGGAGACAGAGAGAGGTGGATCACCAGTTAACTCCATGAAGAGAGCCCAAAACAGAGATTCCAGGGTTTGCCATTTTCCAAGAAACACCAGAAATGTGGATTTGGGAGGCGAACATGCACCTTTGAAACAAGGGTAAGCATTAACTTTTATATTATACAGACGAAATAAGATAGATAGAGCAAACCCCCACCCCAATAACAGCCTAGGGACAGGCCCCTTGTCTTAGCAAGAACTAGACTAAAGAAATGCCTTTGGACCCCCAGGACATGATGGAATCAACTAGGGTTTCTCCAGGAGAGGAAAGGATGTGTGTGTGTGTGGGGGGGGGTGCTGTGGAGGACAGGCCCAGCCTCAAGCACAGCTCTGCAGACATGGCTAGACCACCACACACCAGAGAGCCCGACGTGAGACTGCACCTACTGTCTTCTGTAGATCCTGACCCGAAGACGTTCAGGAACTCCCACATCAGTGAAAACACTGCTCACCAGCCAGCTATGTTCATTAAGGAGGGCTTTTTCCTGGGATGAATATGTGTTAAAAATAGCAAATGTTAATCACCAGCAACGTTCATTGATAATACCGCTTGTTTCCCTCTCAACTTCCTAACTAACATCCAGCGTAAGTGCTTTGAACCTAAAGCCTTCTGCACTGTGGGAATTAGGAGTAACCTTTCTTACCGTCTTCACCGTGAACTGAACTGACTGGCTCCATGGGGCAGTTCACAGATTGGAGGGGGCTGCCACGAGAAACGAAATGCTGGAGGGGCCTTTGTAGGGAAAAGTCTAAAACATTATGGGAAAGGAGAAATCTGGATGTGGCGTCATATACCTGTAAGTAATCCCAGCAGTTGGGAGCTAGAGGCAATAGGATCAGAAGTTCAAGGTCATCCTTGGCTACATAGTTTTAGGACAACCTGGGCTTGAGGCCCAGCCTGGGCTATATGAATTCAAGCATTCTGTCTTAAACATCAAGGACAGAGAAAGGATCATGTCCCATGCTGCCTGCCTTCTCTACTGTCCTGGTACTTCTTGGTGTGTGTATGCGTGTGTGTGCTCATGCAGGGGTGCACATGTGTATATGCAGGTAGAGACCAGTGTCAAACTGGGTCTCCTTCTCAGTTCTTCTCTGCTTTGTTTATTTTTAAAACTTTTCTTGTGTGCGTGTATGTGTGTGTGTGTGTGTGTGTGTGTGTGTGTGTGTGTGTGTGTGCACTATCGTGCTCATGCAAGTCCAAGGATAACTCTCAGGAGTTGGTTCTCCTTCAACACCTTGTGGGATCCAAGGTGTAAACTCAAGTTGTCAGGCTTGCACACAAACGCTTCTGCTCACTGACCCAGCACATCAGCCTTCCACTTGGTTTGTGAAACAGGATTTCTCACGGTTACCCAGAGCTTGCTGACTCAGCTCGGCTGGCTGCCTGGCTGGCTAGCTCCAAGGGCCAGTCTACCTCTGATTCCTCATCACGGCAACCACAAACATTCACCATCACACCCAACTGTTGTTATTGTAACGTGGGAATCAATTCCACATCCTCCTGCTCTCACAGCGCAGGCCTGACTGACAGAGCTAGCCCAGCAGCCGTGCTGAGCTTTGTTCTAATATGAAGTCCACACACGGACTGGGGCTTTAGCAAATGGGAGCTGCCTCAGCTCTTTGCAAAGCAGTGTCGATTTTGTGTTATTTGTTGAATTGATTTCCTCCAACGGTTGGGTTGACTGACATGCTGAGGTAAGGCTTCTACATAGGTAAAAAGTATAGAACTACCATATGGGAGTCACCGCTAGAGGGCTCATGAGGGACCTGGTAATTGCAACTGAACCCTGCTGATAACCCCAGAATCCACCCTGTGCCACTTGCCATAGCTGGAAACCGCTGGCGAGGCCTGTTCCGAGGAATGTGTGCTCATGATAGAGTTGCCCTGCCCACAGTCTGGGACAAGCCAGGGTGGGGACAGAGATATGGTGGGTGCATCTCTTTCTAATCGCAGCTGTTATCAGGCTCTGCCTCCAGGAACCCATGTGTGAACTTGAATTTGGCAAGGAATGAACACTGAACACACTGGGGTTTCTTGCCCCTAAGTTCAGATTTGGGGCCTTTGAACAGCATCCAAAATGCTTTTCCATCCTTCCGGGCTGTTTGGTTTCCCCCACTGAGGAGGGACCTCCAAGCTCTGGTGGTTTAGAGAGGGGTGTGGCACACAATCCCCCCGAGGTTGGGCCATGGAGCAAGTGTTCCTTCGAGATGTCTTCATAAAGAAGAAGGGTAGGCAACTGATCGTCCCCATGCTGCTTCCAAACGGTGGGTGACAACCTGAGCATTTCCCATACACTTACATTTCACCTTCACAGCAACCCCAAGAGGCAGGAGCTATTGTTGCTGTTGTTGTTGTTGTCATCATCATCGTCGTTAAGAGAGGGGGGAAACTGAGGCACAGAAAGTTCAGTAAAAAGACCAAAGTCGGCAGCTAGGAAGTAGCTGGAGCAAGGCTCAAGCTTGCGCAGGCTGTGTGGCTAAGCGGACATGAAGACTGCCGCGCACCAACCAGCACCGAGAGCAAAGGAAAGGGCAACTATGGGTGTGTCCATTACTCAACCTTTGGGCTTTGCTTCTGTGACAGGTTTCAGGGGCTCCTCTCTGGCTCTGTCAGAAGCACGCTCACAGCTCCTTATCCATCAGTGCCTCTCCCTGCCTAGGCAGCCAACCGTAGAGGTCACACCTGGGGAGGGAGGGAGGGAGGGAGGGAGGAAG